CGTAACGATATCGAATTATTATCGAAGCGAAATGAAAAAAAAAAATGCAAAAATTTTGCAAACTGCACACGCATCGCTTTCGATACGAAGTGCACAAGCCGGTCGACCCGTATTTCATCGCATGGCGACGGTTGCGAATATAAAATATCTTGCATTAATTTTCAAATATTCGAATCTATTTCGCGAAAGAGTGAAAATTACGACTTGTCCGTTCTTTTTTTCGCTGGCAGCGCTGAATTATAGCCACGGAAGAATTGTTCCCGGCGAAATGCAGATAGGTGCGCATTTTCCTCTTGCAGTTCGTGACCTCATTTCGCACAGATTTTGTACAATTTATAGTAGAAGACGGCAAAGATATCCGAGCAAGATAATCAAGATTATGTTATATAAGACATTCTCGTACGGCGGAAATCTTGCGCCAGTTACACGACAACGACGAACCGTTTCCTATCCTCAATCCGGCGCAACGACATTTCTCGTTGCGATGCGCAACTAATCGAAATAATCCTTAAAAGACGACCTATATACCATTTCCGAACATCTATCGACTCTAGCAACTTTTTCTACAGATCGTAACATCGCGGAGCCCTTTAAAGCCAAATGTTCTCGTTACGAGGTAAAGTTCTACCTTCGCTACACCGCCGGTTCCTCCTCCTAGCTTTTTTTTGCAACTTACGTGAATCGTGTAAAACTTCAACCGTACGTAAAGCCCGCGGGCGTCCATCGTTTCGCACAATTTATAGAGATGGTGGCAACTTTTCAAACTATCAAGGCTGCCGCGCAACGCGAATCGTCGCCGATCGCGATTTCCGAGGGCGCGTTGCTGCAATCGCGCCAATTATAATAAGAATTTACGAGCGAGACTAAACGACCGCCGCGCGCGGACTATCGATAAAGTGCCATCGCCGGAGACGTCCGATCTCTTTCCTTCCTTCGAAAACATCCGATAGATTTACGAGGGTAATTACGCGCTTTCTTCCTGCGGCTATTCCGCACCACTCCGCGCGCAAATGCACTGTCCACCCTTATTCATCTTATTCTTTTTCCTCCCCTTCTTTTCGCACACGTTAGCACCTACGTCTGACTAATTTTACGATCGTACCGCTGATCTATCGATGATGTCATTTCAACATACATAACCGCGCCGAGCACTTCTAGAGCTTGAGCGTTATATACATACGATCAAAATGCGACCCGAGTGCATTAGCACAGCACGGAAGAAGATCATAATGGAGAGGTGAACCGCGAACCAAAAATCTGTATACCAACTTCAGCAGAGTACGGCTGATGATAATAACACGGGATAATATATTTATACACAGAAATGCATTATTAAATAACCATTGTTAAATAATTCTTATGAAAATTTCAACTTCTTTCAGTAATATATATTCATGCACAATACAAGTAATTTTCTCGCTCCAGAAAATTTAAATTGGATTAATCAACTTTTAATTATTATCCATTGCGGAATATTACGTTTTAACCTAAGTAACGTTACATCCATTAACACTCACGTACTGAAATGTCTGCTATAATTTTAATTCTCGAGCCGTAATTTCTCGACTTTGTATACCTACTAAAATTCCACGGTAGATTCAGATTCAACGCTAACATTCCGACCGCTAAAATTCAACCGGCAGGAGGCTTAAAAATAAGCCTGTTATATTTCACGTCGCTTTGAAAAAAAACAATTCAAAAATTGTTTAAGACATAATACGTTTGCGGAAATCGATTCGTTTCTTTCCATTAATTATTAACGAGTGCACTAATTCCCCAACAAATCGGCGATCGCGATATACGTGCCGTCGTAAATTATCACAGCAGTAGCCGGATATAACCGGACGGTTCTTACAAATCCCACGATATATTCGTTCAATCGCAAACCAGAGCGCACGCGCATCGCGGGCATAAAACGCGGCTGACAACTGGTATCTATATGTAAACGATTTTACGTGCTAGATTAATTATACGAGCAGCTAGGTTGCAACTAATTCACGCGTCACAATGATCCTTGATTTATAGCGCATCGAGCCCGGAATTTACTCCATGAATCAAAACGATCGTAGACACCGAATACCGACCGACCCGCGTCGCGTTGTCACGAGACGGGATATCGACTTTAATGCGGTTAAGTTTGATTAGGCTAATTATTGCAGGACTGCGCGCAACGCCTTAGGCATCACGAAAGAGGAGGCTAAACATGAACGACATGTAACATCTCCCGAGCGGCAATTTGCTCTCTAATCTCTTAATTATATGCATATGGAGTTGCTACTCCGCGTGGCAGTTGCCTCCGTCCAAAATAGGTAAGGACATAATCCAACATGGCCAATTTTAACTTTCCACATTCAATCTTCAGAGAGGTAACATTAAACATTATACAATTTTGCGGTACACTTCTCCGTGTGTTACCATTTCAACAGCAAATAATCAAGTAGAAAATTCAATATGTCTCTCCAAATAAAATAACATTTATTAACATAATATATTATATTGTAAGTAAATTATCTTATTTCAGAATATATAAAAATTAGAAATTGCATTGCAAAAAAAGTTCGCGAATCGTTTAATAATAATCATCGTTTTGCAAAGCACAAAAATTAAAACTAATATAATTTTTGATATTTTCTAAAATATTTATGCCAATTTTTTAAATATATGTTCTATATGATTATAATATACATAATACAATATAAATATATTTTTTCAATTAAATAAATATGATCTATATGAAAATAAATAGCATCTGAACCAAATTTCAATCACAATTATAAAAACAATAAACTCACGCAAATGTGTATGCTTCTCTCTCGCGAGCATTAATTCACAATTATTAAAATTATACAAAATATTCGCACAGTCTTGGCCATAAGTATAAAGCATTCTCCATTTATTGCATTTTCTAGAGAGGGAGACTGTAAGAAAAACTAAAGAACAATCAAAATATTAAAATTGTATGGCCGTAGGATTTTCTACTTCCTATTTGTTGAGCATTAAAATTGTAAAAATAAGTATTATTTTTCAATATAAAGCCGTTTTTTTACTATCTTTTGTTTGATATAAAACGTTCACGTCAATTTGTAAGAATACTTTGTACAATACGAACGCACTTGTGACCAACTTGCGGTCATAAATCAAACATTTCACATATTCAACGACATTGAAAAATTGAAAAGATCCGACATTAATCATATGTGGAAAAAGTTCAGTAAAACTGACTAAAACTGTGATATTTTGTAGCTTATGCTGATCAAAAGATCTTTATAGGCACAACATTAAATTTGGACAGATTTTGCTGTGGCACTATCTGAAAGTTGCTATTTTGAATCTAATTTTGGATTAAAAAGTATCTCTTTTTTCTACAATACACAGTTTACTACTTTATCTATTACTAATAAATTGAAATAAACACTTATTGAAATCTTAATACTTCTGTTCCTAATATTTCTTCCATTGTACGCAGCCAACATAACCATACATATATATATTATTAAATAAGTTTTTGTTTCAGCATATGTATGTATGTGTGTGTTTGTGCGCGCGCGCAAGGGAGAAAGAATAGTGTAGGTAGTAGGTGGGTATAGGTATATGTGTAGCTGATTCAGAAATTTCACCCGGGTGCGCCCAGGTATCATCTTATGCTTGTTTAACATTCGGTGAACCATATAGGGATAAAATGATATCTAGATAAACACCACACCTGGGTGAAGTTTCTGAACGCAATCTATGAATGTATTCAGTACAAACCGCTTCCTGAGCGCTCACTGAACAAAAATTGACGAAAGATAAATTAACGTGTTTACTTGTTATGATATACATGATATAAAATAACGTAACTATATTATAGATAATTTTTAATACTATATTTCTTATTTATTTCCTTCTGTTTATAATTTCTCCAAGATCGTGAAAGCGTGAGCGTTCAGAGAGCGCGATGAGCATAATTTTATTGCCGCTCATACTGCTCGCTGAGCACCACCCACCTCACGGCTTTAGAGAAATAATAAACAGTAAGTAAAAAATATAACATTAAAAATCACAAAATAAAGTTATTTTACATTATATATAAAATAGTGCATCCTATAAGTAACGACTGTATACATTATAGTATATATCTGACATTATTACTTCTTATTCCATCTTATCGAGTACGATAAAGTACCAAAATTAAACTGCTTAACTAATTGCTATTGCTATTTCGTTTTTTAATCGTACATCAGAATATCAGAAACTAAGTAAAATTAGGTGGAAAACCATCTCATTATGATGTAACCCTTAAACAGAAGCGTAAAACAGGAATAACCCCACAATGGCGGCTGAGGAATAATAAATGACAAGAGGAAATTAAGGACTGCATTATACACGTATCGTATGATTATATAGTTAAAAATAAACTGTCCACTATAGATAAATGTATACTTATCAGTCCAATCAGATCAAAAATAATAATTTTCAAATAGTACTGCAGCAAAATCTGTCTATTTTTGACAGTTGTTTATGAAGACCGAGATAAAGACTTTTAATCAATATCTCATAGGCTACAAAATAAAATATCACAGTTTCAATCAATTTAACTAAATCGCTTTCCAGTCAATTCGATTGAAATCACTTTTCCAGTTTTTCAACCGATTTGACTAAAATGGCTTTTTTTAATGATTAGTTTGGAAATTCCTTTCTCACACACAAAAATTACGCAAAAAGGACAATTTTGCTAAAGTATATAACAATATTTAAAAATTTAGCTAGATACAGATCTGTAATAATTTCGTTGGACCATTAAAAAAAAATTATGTAGGGCACCCAACCTGGTCGCTGGAATGTAAAAATTTTTCTGTAACATTGCTCATCACGCTCGAAATTTCCTACGTAATTATTTTAACAGTATACAACGAATTATTTTCAGATCTGTCTGCAACTAAATTTTCAAACTCGAATAAAATCGTTCTTTCCATGTATACAGCAGAACTCCAATTGCCATGTACGGGAAAATGACTCACCCAAATGATCGGTGCCCGCCACTCGATGAGCCCGAAGAAGCAGCAACCACACCGCCAGCAAGATCATGATTTTCCCGGTTGCGTCACTGGCTAACATCATCGTTGCACCAATCAAGTCCAGTCTTTTATATCAACACCACACCGTCGTACGCCACCAACATGTCACGTATCACCCGCACTTTGGTCATCGAACACTATCGGATCGCGATGTGTCTCCACGAACGTTCAACGAGGAGTCACCCGCCGCGAAGTCGTCGAACTCGAATCGATCATTTCCGGCCGGTCCGTTCCGATCAAGTTTAGCGATACCGGCTCTCTCTCCTTTTTCCAAAAAGTCCGCGCCGTTCAATTGTTACACTCGCGCACCGTGTCTCTGCGATCACTCTGAATCTCACTGCTCGCCACTTTAAGATCGTGAAACCGCGCGACGCAACGTCTCGCTTCGATCCGTTTCACGAGATGCGGTTCGAGCGCAAATGTCATCCATGCTGGCGTGAATTATTGAAACCACTGGACCACACGAGACGCGACTCGACTGTTTAATCTCGCAACGTGACTGCTCCGACAAACCGGCATCGAACGCCTCGGCGGCGATTCGAAGCAACGTTCACGCTGAACTCATCACGGAACACGGAGTAACTTCACATCGCGCTTCTCTGGTTTGCCGAATCTTCCGCGAATCGAAAATACAGATTCCACTGTGAAGAGGGAGACCCTCCCGGATAGCAAGATCGAGAGGCCGGAACGCGCGAAAGCTCTTAAGACACACGCATTATTCGGAGGTCGGCGCGCGACTGAGGCGGGCGGTTGGTACTTTTGAAAGTGGGGTCGCGCTACGTCACGCGGCCGGCTCGTGCGCGCGCGCGCGTTATGACTTCGCCCCTCTTCGCTCGTCGACCGCTCCTCCCTTCCCCGCGGGCCCCGTTCGCATCAACCGAATTTTCGGACACGCCTGAGATGAGTACGATCTCGCGCGCGACGCGATGTCGTTAAAAACGTAAATACGTACGTACGCCTAGCCGAGTCCGGTAAACGATACTGACACGGGATTTAAATTTCAATTGGACGTTACGATCACGGGGTTGTTTTACGTCCCTCCGGTTTTCGGAAGCGGAGAGACTTTTTAAATTAATTTCCGATTCTCCGACTAATTCATTGTAAATTTTGATGAGCTTTTTATTTAAAAAAAAAAAAAAAAAAAAAAAATATTTGTTATATCTCGAAAACGAAAAATTGTACCAGAACAAAATAAAATGCATTTTTACCTTTCATAGGCACACATATTTTTTTTCTTTACTTACTCTGTAGGCACTCGGGGTCTTTTTTGTTCCGCTCAAATTTTTTTTACTATTCTAGGCTTTCAAAAAATTTAGAAAAATTCAGAATTACTTTTTAACATCGCTACTCTCGGCTATATTGCCAAAACGTTATTGAAAATAAATATTAAAACCTATATTTAATAATATATTTAATATTAAAACCTATATTTAATAAAAATTGAAATTTACGCCAAACAATTTACGAATAAAATTTTGCCTGAATAAAAAGAGATACATCTACGAAAGATTGAAACTAAAAATGATACTTTCATGGCATTAATAAAATTTAGAAAACATCTTATTACCGATGTTACAATATCATGAAAACTCTCAGAATCGTAGTTCTTGATGCTATCTGTTTCAAAATTGTGATAACTAAATTTGGAAAACGGATTCGTGTTTAAAGACTACAAGAAATAATAAAGTTTGATCAGGTGATTTTTAAAAGTGTAAATTTGTTGACTAACGTAATTACTTTAACGTAATTAACACAACGCCCATGGTGGAAATAGAGTGGACTATAAACTGATTGTGAATAAAATAGTACATCTTTCGTAATAATTAACGAGAAATTAATTCTTCCTCAACAATCTCCGTTAAAATTGCACCCTTTTTTCTAAGTCTTCGAACTTTAGTGCAGATTTTTACATTGTTCCAAATTGTATAAAAATTTAAAAGGATTCTTATATATTTGTGAAAGTTTTTACAACGAATCGTTACTATATCTTACAGAAATTAGATTTATTCATCTTTATAGACTTAAATTGATCTTCTTGATTTCACAATCAAATAATCGACTGTGCTTTTCAAGTCCAACATTGTTGACGAAGAAAATTTATAAAAATCTGCGAATTAACGTTCGTCTGCACGATTCAATAACAAGAGATGTTTACAGTTTCTAGGTGCGTAGCGTGGCAGTAAGAAGAGTTTCCTCTGTAAACAACAACGTGCCGGTCGTGCATATAACGATTGTTTTTTTTATAGTACACCTCTTTACACTGCCAAGTCGTGCGTTTATTGTGGATGCTTTCCATTTGGTGACACAAACATCATTTTATATATCTTTCTTGGTAGTTTAATAAATAACAAAGATAAAACACTTGTATATCTATTTGTATTACCAAATAGAAAACACCCTATTTATAAATCGTAACACTAGACTAGGGTGTCTTTTGTTGCCGAATCAGTTGGATGTATACTAATTATTAGATTCGATTTTTATAAATGAATTTCTTGTTATAAACTAATCACGAAATGATACAGAGTTTATTCAATTTTTAAAAATTTAGTTTAATTTAATCCGCTCTCTATTTACAACATTGGATCAATAACTATCAGACCCGTATAACCAGAGTCAATAGCTGCATTCGACAGAAAAAGCAGCTTTGCAAATGTTGTAAGATTCTTTAAATTTTAGTACGATTATACGTTTAGATCCAGCAACTAAGGGCAAGATCAATCAAATTAAAGGATTCTACAAAATTACAGTTGCAAAGCTGTTTCTTTTCTGCCGAACGCAACTATTTTGATAGCGAACTAATAAAATTATTTTAGTCTATTATTAGGTCTATATTTATCAAAATTTTCGATACTTTAACAAAATCTCGTTCTTTCCGCGTACGGAGAATGAAAGCAAATCATCTCGTATAGAGCATGTGTATATACACTTGCTCGTAATTTCCGATATGTAACACCGGTTTGTTATGATATTAGCATCATATATGACGCGGCGAGCGCTCGCTCGCTTTTACTAGTGCGGTTCTCTCGCGCCAATTTCACGGCGTCTCGTTTCGCTATATATATATACACACAATACATACGCTTCGGCTTTCGTTTCTACCTTCGTTGCGTTCACGTCTGTCGGGAGTACCGAGTCAAAAACGAGCTGTCGTTCGGATTAATTTGAATACACGACAGCAATTAGAACATCTCTTGATTCACGACCGTTGCGGTCTCGCGAGAGATTGCCACGCCGCGCCATTCGCAGGAAGCGGCGCGGCGTGAAGTTGCTGCGCATCTTTCCGTTGCGAGTGTGCTACGCGAACGAATGTAATGAAGCGAGACCCTACCCCTCCATGCCGTTGGGGGTTGTTTACGCATTTCAAATATGTACGTCAGGAGTAACGACGCGACGAATGATTACCATGACGCGTTAATTAAAATCGCGGAGTCACGATTATAACCGCCTGTTCTATCGATCTGCATTCTGCGCGAGGGAGTGTCTGAAACGGTTAGGAGCGAGGCAATATATCGACGCGTCACATCGCTTGGTAAGTAAATCTATTTACTGTATTAATTCGTTAATTTTGTCAACGATAACTTGATACTACGTCATACGCGCGATTACGTTTGACGCACGACATCGTGCACTGATGGGTAATTCTCAATATTTGTAATTAATCTTTATGTAGATGAGTGATATAAGGTTATTTAATATTCCTGGCAAATTGATAGGTGCTCGGACCTCCTCGAAGCATTTTTATTTTATAATTACGTTTTCCACTTGTATATTATGTAAATTATGCGTTACAGTTAAATTTACATTAGTTACAACCTTATGAGAAAAATAATGAACTTTAAGATTTCGGATTAATTTTTTTGGACAATACTTTATATTTTTCTTTTCTAGAAGATTGAAAACAAATTATATCTGAAATACTGTAGTCACACACATAGGAAGAATAATACTGAAATGTCTGAAAATTTAGCTGGATGCAAAAATGAAAATAATTTTATTGGACAATCAAAATATTTGTATAAAAAACTCACAAACATGATGAGCAATGCTGAAAAAAATTTTGATATTTTAGCAATCAGCTAGAGTGTTTTATGTAATTACTTTGATGGGTCTAACAAAATTTATTTTTAAATCTGTATATATACATATATACAACTAATTTTTTTAATACTTTTGTAAAACCGTTCCTTCCGTGTATTTCATCTACTCACTTAAAAGTTAAGAGTACAGATAAAAAGAAAAAAGCAAGAAAAAGGACATAATAGAAAAATAATAAATATAAATGTGTAATTTTCTTCAAGAATACGTATATGATTACAAAAATATCAATTTTTAAATATTATATTTCTTATTTTGTACATTTTTTTACATATTATATCAATCGTTATAATTTGTGAGCTCATAATTTTCAATATTATTTATCTAATTGTCATTCTCTATAAGTAACTTTGCATTTGAAGTTAATAACATTCAAAAAATTAAAAAGATAGAAAAAATATATTTCAACATTTAAATTTTTACGATTTCGACTACAAAATCGACATTCGAAACATGTGTGTTCTATAGAAAAGAGCTTTACACAGGATAATCTGATACACTGTAACAGAGTAATCTGATACACTTTTCCGACGTGCATTCATCGAAAACCAATATTTCTTAAATCTCATAATACTGTTTAAAATTACTACATAAGTAAAATATTATATATCATAATTATAACAGAATAATTAGAACATATGTATAATAATAATAATATAGGGGATATACCTGTAATTATAACATAATTTATTATAGTACATAATATTAGAGATAGCAAAGAACTGATTTTTTCTAAGACCGTCATCGTTATATTTTTTTATAATAACGATTTGATAATTTTTCATGAAAATAATAATGCTAGGATCGAAACAATTACTTAATAGTTATTCCAACTCTGGTATTACCGTCATGAAAAGTTGTCACACTATTAATAAATCATTATTATAAAAAGTAAATATAGCGTTACAAATAACGCATTACTTGTCGTTTCTATACATACAATGT